TCGTTCCACTGGACAGAAAAACCATCTACGGTACAAGAAATTATTCATACTATTTGCAACATCCATGTTAAACTCTTTAATGTTTTTACTGAGGTTGTGCACATTTTCTTTCTTTTATGTGCTTCCTTTTCCCATTTATTAACACATTCCTATGCAGGAATGCTGTTGATTGAGCCTTGTCAAAGGAGAATTTCTATCATCATTTGGGACACAGCATCAGTGTACCAGCATATTTCTTTCATATGCAGGAATGCAGACGTGCACACCGTACAAGTACGGTTTTAAAGTCCTGATTAAATAATGTTCTTGATGGTTGCTGATCAGAAATTGTTGGGGGGGATGATGAATCTTACTTACCGGTAAATGATCAACATTTTGACTTGTTTTACATAAATGTGTCAATTTAGCTTACTTGCATTCAGATCAGCAGTTATCAAGGCTAAAGTTTGACATTATTTTAATTTGATACCAGGTCCTGATAAATGTAGGTTAACATTTAACTACTGTTATTCCAGTTAGAACTTTGGTTTACTCATAATACTCAATGCTGTAATAAAAACTAACCCCAGCTTTTCACTGGATGTTTTCTACTGTGTATTTATTTTACCTGGGTCACCCTTTGGACTAAGCAGTCATCAGCATAGGTTCCCTTATGTGTGCATGGCAACCGTTCAAAGCGTGGATCCTTGGCTATCCTAACAGCCCAAAAATAAGAACACAGGAAAACATTGTTTAGGTGAAAAAGTAGAACCACATATGTGTTAAATTTCAGCAAAACCAAGAGATTGTTAAATACGATACCTGAGAGCAACTCTGTATTTCATCCCAAGCTTTTCGATCTCAGCCATCACACAGTCTGTGATGTAGGGTATACCTTGAGCAGATCACATAGCAGGGGAGAAAGTGATTTAATTGTTTCTCCCATTTTTAAATAACATTCTCCAATAGAGCATGTATTAAGTCCAAATTTAGTTTTACTGCTTCATACATTTGGCATACAAGCAGTCCATCATAGACTGAACGATGTCCAGCTTTGCCTTAATGGAAAAGTTGATGAAATTGGTATCAACGAGAACGTGATACGGTGGGCCAAGCTGAGTGTTGTACTGGAAGAACAGACATGATGGATACTTTGTGCTGCAATGAGAATTTAAAAAAAAGTCAAAAAGATGCCCCTCCTCGGCCCCAACAAGTTAAGAAGTACTTTATTCAGCTGAGCGGTTAACATACACTTCCCGCTCCTTAAGCTCTGAAGGATCTTTTTTCTTCTTTTCTTTTGTTTTAGCACGATCTTTTTCTTTTCTACCAAAAGAACAAAGAGGTCAAGTTTAACTGATTTTGTTTTTAAATGCAGAATTAATCAGATAAACAAGCTAGTCAAAGAATTCAACAGAAAATGTATCAAAACAATAAGAGATATAAATTGCTGATTTGAACACATACATTCTTTGATCCCGAAGATTAATCATTCTTTTCATTGCAGCAAACTTTTTCGTCTTCTGTTTCCCCTGAAATAGACACAGTGTCAAACAACATAACAAAATAAATCATACTAAATTCTTTATAGTAACGGTTTCCAAACCACTAAAAGTAAAATATACAAGTAACAGATGTGTTTTACCAGCAACTTGAAAATGCTGGTTTCTTTGTATCCATTTATAAATGTATTCTACAAATATGGTTTGGAAATGACAATTTATGCTATTTAGTTTGACTTTTGAGGAGGATCTAACACTTCACATTTTTTACTCACGACCCAAGCTTTAGGATTTACTGGTTTATTGAACACTTGAATGCAAAAATTATGGAGAGAATGGCAGCCTAGTGGTTAGGGCACAGAGCTTGGAATCCTGAGGTTCTGAGTTCAAACCCCACTCCCAGACTGCCACTCTGGGTCTCTGAGCAAGCCCTTTAACCCCCAATTGCTACCCGGGGGCCCCATGATGGCAGCCCACTGCTCCCAAAAGAGACGTGTTAAATGCATAGGTAAATTTCTCCAATGTGAGATCAATAATTATTATTAATTTAAAGATAATGGGAAAAAAAATGAACAGGATGACACTGTAACATCTCAATAGTTTGGACATTCATTGATTGGTAACTACGCTTTTATGACACATTATCAATGTTATTAAACCCCCAAATTTTGTTTCTAAAAAGATTTGGAATATTATATAATACCAATAAAGCAACACACTTAATACAAATATCTGATTTATAAAACACACGGCATATCCACTCAATAATTGGATGGAACCTTTATGTGATTTACTGCATCTATGCTGTGTTTAATTGAGGGGACCGGCTTGTGGCTCTGCTGAAGTGTTTAATGGCCCATTTCAGCTCATGATATTGCCGTTTCCTCTTATTTTTTTCAGAAAGGAAAAAAGAAAAAAAATATTAATAAATTCTCTACAGGTTAGGGTCAGGCCAGTTTGCTGACAAATAGAGCACATTAACCACATGGTCATTCCACCAGGTAGTGATACCTTTGACAGTGTTTACAGTTTCAAGTCCTGTTGGAAAATAAAGAATATATTTAATAATGTAATGAAATGATCTAACATTATTATTTGGCAGACAACTAAAGTGACTTTGGACTGTAACGAAAATAGTGGCCCAACACAAGCAGATGTCCTGCCTCTCCAAAGTTTAACCAAACTCACAGGTGTAACTTTCTGAAGGACTGGTGTGCTCATGTCCCCACAAATAATTTTTGCCTTTTTCCCGTTTCTGCTTATGTACTTTAGCCAAAGGTAACAGAGTTTGAGTCAGTGTTTTTATTTTTCCCGTCTCGCTCTGCTCCCATGTCCCGCCTCTCGTGTGACATCGTCGGATGTGTCGCTTTTTACTGCGTACAAAGTAGCTACGTGGTTGGAGGAGAGACACACAGCAGCACTCACGGCAGCTACTTTGATGTTTTTCAGTAAAAGTTAGGAGACGGGTTGGTTTAAATAATTAGAGATCTTGCCACTAAAAAAAATCAGTTTGTTTGACATACAGAGCTGTTCTAGCTAAAAGGGCAATAAATGTAAGTTTATAAAAGTTAGTATTATAATGCAAAAAGCTTGAGAAAACATAGTTTAGTAAAAAAAAAAACGTAGCTTCCCAGAGAACCATGACTCACAGTTACAGGTTAAAATTAACATGTTTTCTTATTGTACAAATCGAATCTGACTGCAGAGCTTCGACATATCTTGAAATTTTGTTTCTGGCATCATTATATTAGTAAAGAGGTTCATAAATCCTTTTTAAACAGAGCACAGAGAGAAGTAGGGAGAGCTCCAGATTTAAAGGGGAAACAAGATTTACTGGGATATGCAACATGCAATAAAATATATAATAATAAATATAGTTTACTAGAAAGTTTACAAGAAAAGAATATTCTATGCTATATTTAAAATGCAGCATATCCATATTTTTCCGGATGGATGGAATCGAAATTGTACTTCTAGGGATGCATGATATATGGACTTTGGCATTGGAATCGGCCGTTATTCATTATTTCTTTATACATTAATGTTTTTGGGCCCTATATTTGTAATGCACTAAAAGACATCTCTCTAACTATCTATAAATATAAATATCAGTGTATTAGGGTTGTCAAAAGTATCGATACCGAAACATTGTATCCGGATACAATACCCGTTTTTAAAAGTATCGATACAGTGCTACCATCAGTGCTACCTAAGCAGTCATTCATCTAAAGTGCAGAATAGAGGAAAATGCACTTTCAGAACACTGTGTGATTGAATAATTCTGTGCACTTTTCAGTTTCAGACTTTTTTTTGTAAGAGGTGCAGCTGCTGAGAATAACTTTTGTTTCTTAACCGGTTTGGCTAGTGTCATTGTTATGTGTGCAAAGCATAGCCAAGGAAGGAACACTTAATTTTAATTTTATAAGTTTTTATCAAGCTTGCTTAATATTGTGCACAGCAAACAACCTCAAAATATTGTTCTTATTGTGTATTGTATTTATTTATTGTATTTTTATTATTAATGAACATTTCTGTTGAATTTTGGAGTCTTTGTTTTTATCCTTGTGGTATCGAAAATGGTATCGAGTATCGGATATTTTCCTTAGTATCGGTATCGAGTTGAAAAGTTTAGTATCGTGACAACCCTACAGTGTATTATAGTTCTCTTGTTTTCTCAACAATAGGAAAGCATTCAATAAGTATAATTATTACAAAAATCTAATCAAAGCGTTCGGGTTGAGTAACTGTAGGACCATCAGCCCACACCCTCAGAGTGTCCCCACTAATTTTCATCACAAAGTTACACCCTTGACCAGACTACGGGCTATTTGGATCATATGCCTTTTATCTGTTAAAAGAAATAGAGAAGACTTTAGGATCTTAATTTTAATGAAAGCTGTCGTTAGCTTTCTAAAAATAGTTTTAAACCACTGCGCAACAGTCCATTTATAATGCATTTGCCTTCTAAAAGGAATGTGGGGTTTTAATTCGATGTAACCAAATAGTTTTATATTAAGTGAAAACTTTTAGTACATGTTTAATGAATATATAAAAAGTATAAATTACATTTTCGATTATATTCCGATTGTTTGGGATTTTCTTTTTTTTTTAAGTAAGACCATTATGCGGACTTGTATCAATGCTAAGCTAACAGCACTAGCGTTCGCTTATCTCCAGAACAGGTCTCCATTTTACCTTAACGCGTGAAAAAAAAATACTTCATAAAATTAAGTTCATTTGAATGTCAGAGTGAAAATCCCTAATATGTGTGAATTATGTAATAAAAAAAGTCGTGAATATTTACCATGTTTCAGAATTTCAGCACTAGCTCTCTGTAAGTAGCTGCCACACTCCTCGTGCGTCGATTATGACACGTCATGAAAAAGCGACTACTTTCTACGTTTGTTCCGGTTGCTATGCTAACGACTGACAAACGAAGGTAGATGCGGTGCTTGTTAAACCTGTACCATTTACACATTTGTTTAGGGAAACGCAACGCCTCTTCAGTGTTGCAATTATTTTTCTCTGAATATATTTAAATGTGCAAGTTTATAACATCTTATTAACTGACGCTTAGCTTTATTTTTTTTTTAAAGGACGCTGGGCTAACTTGGCTAACTGTTACCGTTGTGTTTTCTTACTGAATGCTGTTGTACCAGCCACCCCCCATAGAGAGAATTGATGATGCTGCAGTTTAGTTCATTGTTTATCGCCCCTATTAGCTTTTTCTTTCACAGTCTACAGATTAAATTGCATAATTCTTTGTTTATTCTGTGATTAGTAGAGCGTGTCCTTATAAAATAAGCTAGTCTTTAGTAGCACCTTAGTTTGACTATGCTAGTTTCGAATATGAATACAAAGAGATTTGAGTTGAGCTAATTCTTTTGTTGTTTCACTTTATATGTAAGATATTTATCAGGACGTTTTTATAATTATATTTTCCATTCATCTTCAACCCGTATGTTTAACAAGTGTATATTCTGTTTGTATATATTTTCCTCATTCGTTGTTAGGAGTCTGGACTTGCCCAGCAGTTCTCTTGAGAGCACGGAGGGATCTTAGTGAAAGGCTGAAGGATGGTCTGATGGACCGCCGCTTTTTCCTGACCCTCCTTTTTTGCTCAGTGTCGTGGGTCTTGTTCTGGGAAGTAAGGTGGAAGAAAAGAAAAGAGAATCAGATTGAGGAATGGCTTCAAGAACATAGCCTTTCTCAGCACAGGCACTTATTTGAAGGTATTGTTTTTTTGCTTCGTTTCGTTTTTTGGGTATATGTGTTTACAGGCTTGAAAAGGTGCTGAAAATGCAATTTATTTTTTGGGCAATCTTTGGTGGTAATCGGAATATAGTTTGGTAATACTTTGAAGGTCATTGATAATTAATTGGACTATGTGACCAAATATCTTACAGTGTATTTTAAATAACTTGAAAAGATACCATTTCATTTTCACAATGATTGTTCTTTTAGGTTAGAAATTACCTAATAATAATGATAGTAATTTATGTAATTGAAAACTGTATAAACCAGTAGCTATTACCATAAACCATTCTGCAAAATCCTTTTGATTTATTTTTTTCTTTTGGTTTCATTATTGATCATATTTTATCCAACTGAGAATATACCTATTTCAAAAGTGCATTCTGCCTGCAATCTTATTTTTAAATAAAACTTTAAACCTAAATCCTGAAATTTAGCTTTATATTGTTTAATGTACTGCTTACATATTTGATACATTTCTTTTTAATATAGATGAGTACTGTTCAATATTTAGAAAACAAGTGGCAATCACTGCTGGCAATCAATTACTTGCAATTAATATAAAAAATATTTACTTAACATTTTTAATGTATTTTTGATTTGTTTTTTCTTGTCTGTGCTTTACCAAAACCTAAAGATTTATTTCGCAGTAAAAGGCTGAAGTATTCAAGCCCCTAAAGAGAACAATTATAACATATTTAAGAACTGTGAACTTTACAGCTTCTAAATGGAAGCTTTTTGAAGTTTCCTCATTACATGCTTACATTGAAAAAGAAACCCTGCCCAGATTAAACTAGCTGTTTAATAGCTATTAGGGCTGCAACTAACTATTGTTTTGCAAATTGATTCATCTGTCGATTATTTATTTTTTTTTCCAGAGTAATAATCGGATAGCAAAAGATTTCTTAAAAAAGATTTTTTGCTAAATTAAACCAGGTGAAACTAAAACTTTTCCACTTGAGTTCTGGATAGACATTTTTTTTTAAATCTTACATGCAAAATATTTACATTTTTTTTTTTTTTTTTTTTTTTTTTTTACAGTTTTCATATAATTACTGCTTTTAAGATGAAACGTCTCCCTCTGCTCATGAAACACCACAGTCTGAATGCTGAATGCATACTCTGTAGTTTGTTAAAAAGAAAAACTGATATATTAAAGTACATTTTGTAGTGGCAGATCCCAGTTTGAATGGGTATAATTATCTGGAAACAACAAAAATTAATTTTTTCCCCCTGTATGTATGTTGAATAACTGCAGCATTTCTAAGCATAAAACTGAACGTTGTTTAGATCTGTATAATCTAAGGCACCCCCCCCCCCCCCCCCCCCCCTTTATCCAACTTTAAAAATGTATACTCATAATCATCTGCAGAGATCTGAAAACAATATTTTAATCTGGGACATTTTTATGTGGATTTTGTGTGTCACACAGATGTGCAGACACTGGAAGAATTGAGTCTGAGCGCACTGAGTCGTCTAGAGGAGGTGGGGAGAGAGCAGCAACGCTGGAGGGAAATTGCCGAAGCTCACATCAAGCTGCTTCGAGACTTTGCCTTCCAGGAGTGGCTTAGCTCCCAGAATCTAGAGCACTATCACCACACGTAAGCAAAGAAAGGTCTTTACTTCAGCCTTAATAGCAGTGTGACGTGAGTTTGTGAACATTATCTCAAATTAGGGATTAGTTCCTTTGAGTACTGTAAAGTTTTCATTTAAAAGGCAGTACTTCTCAATAACTTATTGTATAGTTTTGGTGCTTAAATGAAACTGAACTATTCAGTTTGACTTTTGAGAGTTTGTTTGTATGGAGCTGTCTAAATTACTACTAATTGAAAGTCATCCTCATTTGGTAAACTGTTTAACTGTCATTGTGGTTCATAAGCAAAGGTTATCATGTTTTTTTTTTTAAGACACTATGGCTTTAGTAATGGTCAGCCATATCACAAAAGAAGCTTCTCATTTGATCAAATTATATCTTTATGAACTTTTCATTTTGATTTGATTGTAAAACTGTTGTGCAGTGGGTGAACATACTGGTATTTTAGAGGTGTTTTTTTTAAACTCATATTTCATAGTTTTTGATTCTCGCAATCCTCAGAAGAACTTTAATACTAAATAAAATAACCATAAGCCATTAATATTGCATCACGTTTTACCCCATGCCATGAGGGCAGTATAATCAAGCAGCCAAAAAAAGTTTATAATACAGTGTTGTATTGTGTGTATTCTTAGTTATACAACACTGTTAAAAAAGGAACATTAAGGTAGTTTTGAAATTGCACAGAATGCGGAAGGAAGTACAAATGCTTCTTTTTTTTCTTCCTTTAATATTTTTATAAGCACAAATACAGCAGCTACTCAGTCAGAATGTCAGCCTCATATTTAGGACTTAAAGCAGGAAACTAGTATTTAGCTATTAAAGTCACACATTTGTTTGCAGGGCAGTTTTATTCTATATCTTCTTTGTCTTAAAAAACAGATTTAGAAAGCTGTTTATGACACTTGTTCTGCAAAAATAGAATTCAGGTTGCCTGAGGGGAGATTTACACATAAAGTAGTTTTGTGTAGGGGAGTAGTGGTGTGGGTAATAAGACGGCAACAGTCGCCATGGTTGACTTGTTTTCTGAAGGTTAAAGTAAAAACAAACATCCTTAGTTATCTACCTAAATGCTTTCGTTTTTGTCTTGTATTTCTCTCCTCAGACTGAAAACCTTGGGTTGTATGAATCTGGATGACCTGTCTCGCTTTGACAGTCAGCTGCAGCTCTCTTTATCTGCCTGGGGTTACTACTACGAAGACTACATAAAGCTGTCTACAGGCATCAAGATTCTGCAGACCTCCAGGGGGAGTCGAGACCAGGACTACGAGATCCGGCTGGTGCGCAGCCTTGCTGAGAGGCGCCTGAATGAGAAGTGGTCAACTGGTGAGGCCGATTATTTTCTGTTTCCTTGAGCTGTAGTTGCTATGCTGCAACAACCAGAGTGTAATTATAGTCTGGTTGCTTTGTATTTGAATATTTCTGTAATTAGAAATGTCACTCATTGTTTGAGCGTGACTTAGTGAAACTAGACATGTATGCATGGCCAAGGACAACTTTTTGCTTTTAGTATTGAATTTTCCTGCCGATTTTTTATTTTTTTATAATTTTTTTTTTTCATGATTAAAATCTTAACACTCCCCCCACCCACCCATCTACTCACACAAGGCCACTCTCGAACACACACACCTATCCACATTACATTTAGACGTGCGAAATAGAACAATTCAGTGTTGTCACTTTCTTGCTTTTCAAGCCGAACTATACATCTGGTACAGCAGCATTCCTATCTGTAGGTGTGGTTTTCAGCATACCATAGCTCAGTGTCAGTCATATGGAAAAGCATTACAATAAAATATTTGATAAAACAATGAGCTGAATGCTATGAAAGGGAAATAGTCATTTATTATTGCATGCTCTTGTGTTTCTCAGCGGGTGCTCTCCTTTTTGGCTGTACTGTGGCGCTGTGCTTTTTGATAAGGGACCTCATGTTTTACGTGATTGGTAAGTTCAGGATCAGCTATCGGTTTGTAAAATATTGGCTGCCCCACATGCTAAAAAAAACTCCTAGATGATCGTAAATATAATCCTGTGTTTCTTTTTTTCTTTTGGCAGGTGGAATTACTGTTTCCATCATAGCGTTTTTCTTTACCATCAAGTTCCTCTGTGAGCTTGCAGCTAGGATCGTTAGCTTCCTCCAGAATGATGATCCTGGGAGAAGGGGTGACCGCAGCATCTACGACTATGTCCGTGGCAACTACCTGGACCCACGTTCTTGCAAGGTATCCTGGGACTGGAAGGAGCCACAGGAAGTCGGGCAGACAATGACCTTTAGAGTCCAGGTAAGAACAGATATGGTTAATGTACTCATAATAACAGTTTGTTTGACATGAATAGTGTCAGTGAACATTAATCTTGAAATTTGGCTAGTGTAAGGTAGTCTGTATGATAGTTGCTAGGGAAACCGCTGTCCCAGGCCTAACTCTCTGACATTTGTTTAAGACTGAATGGTTTGGCTCCATCTATCTTTATTTTAACTAAGACTGCAATAACGATTGCTTTGCAAATCGATTAATCTGTCGATTTTCCGATTAATTGATTAATAATCGGATAGGAAACGGTTCCCTAAAAGAAGATTTTTTTTTTTATGAAATTAAATCAGGTGAAACTAAAAAAAATTGAGGAGGTTTGGATGGAGCATATTGACGAAATTTCTTTTTTTTATTTAAATGCAAAATGTTTATAAATATATTTTTAGATTTTTCATATAATTACTGCTTTAAGTCTGTTGCTCTGTCAGCTTAACATGCATGTTTTACAGTTGCTATACTCCAGCTAATGATTAACCTATTACTAAATTAGTTGATTATTATTTCAATAATCAATTGTTTCAGCCCTAATTTAAACTCTTGAGTTTTTTTTCCCACTTTCGCGGTAAAGGAATTTCACACTGAGAGGAGCTCAATTTGGCCTCTCTAGCTGAAACAGACAAATCGTTAATGATACAGCCATGATACGCATGTCAAACCTTTCAGATTTAGATTTGTTACAAGTTTAGAAAAAAACATGCTTTCATTTTCCTGTCACTCTGAATTGTTTTAGCTTTCTGTCAGCCTGATGCATAACATCCCCTAAAATACACAGAATTTGTTCAAAAAATACAAAGCAATATCATAATTTTTTTTAAAGAAACAAAATCTGCTATAAATAGGACAGTAGTTGTTGGTCTCTGAAAACTATGTAAATATAAAGTTGTTGTTGTTCTTTCAGCTTTTCTACAAGAACGGTCAGCCTTTCCCTGCACACCGGCCTGTGGGTTTGAGGGTGAACATCACTCACATTGAACTGGCTCTGGACATCCCTGTCACCCAGGAAGTTCTGCAGGAGGCAGAGTCCAATATTGTCAAAGTGGCCTTTACGGTGCGTAAAGCAGGACGTTATGAGGTTGCTGTAAAGCTGGGTGGCCTCAATGTGGCTTACAGTCCTTATTACAAGATCTTCCAACCAGGTGCGACCCTAATGGTTTCATTTACCGGATCTTTAAATGAAAAAATAAAAAATAACTGCATACATTTTTCATCTAATTTCTTCTCACAGGTACAGTTGTTCCCTCTAAAACCAAGATAGCCTACCATTTCTCCACACTGGTGTTGACAAATGGCCAGCAACACACTTTGCAAATTGAACCCAGGGACGAGTATGGAAATCCCACCAGTAACTCCACATCTCTCACGGATGAAGAAAACTACAGTGTCCATGTTCACTCTGTAAGAAAAAAAGAAATACCTACAGTACCGTGCAAAAGCAATCATACCTCTTTGAATGTAGCAGATCTTATAACTTTACAACTACAAAAAAGTGACTAAGTAGAGAAATGTGCATAGCTGGTCAAATTCCTGACCTAACTGAGTTTAGGTCTGGACTTTGGGCCATTTTAAAACATGATTATGCTTTTATGCCAATCATTAAATTGTAGCTTTTTTTGCTCTGTTAAAAGGTGAATCTCTAATAAGTCTTCTGCAGCTTCTATCAGGTTTTCTTGTAGCCTTACCATATATTTAGAACCTTCTATCTTTCAATCAGTGTTGCTTTTTGCAGTTTTTAAAGTTTTATCTTTTGTATGAAAAAGCTTTTAGTAACAATTAATTGACGTTATGTATACAAAAGTTAATGTGAATATATTTATTATGCATCCCATAACGGGCCTAAACACATCAATCTGACCAAGTACTTTTTTTCCATTATAAGTCTTGTTACCTCAATTGATGAAATGCATATACTATCTATCTATCTAGATACATATGTATATGTAGATTTGTTTTTTGATTTCATTTTTGTATTTTTTTACTCGGAGTTACAAATTCATACAGCTCAAGAAAAGCGTGTTTGAATCGGCTGATAATCTTTCCTTCTTCATCATTCTGCGTTCATGCAGTTCTTGCCTTATTCAGGTTCCCTCTAACTGACTTGGTTATTTTTTTTATGAGGAACTTGCATATGTCCAAACTTGATGAACAAACACTCCATAGCCTAAAATTCGGTTTTAAAATCTGGTCGTATTATGGAAATGACTTCTATCCTAAAGCCACAAGACTAGGTGTAATAATTAGTCACACGTAACCCAAGCTGATAAAACGTATCGTACCCTTGCTATTCAGCCGTAAATCACTGCATTTGTTTCAGTAATATTCAAAGCGAATGAACTAATGTTAGAGTAACCTACCCAACTTTACATTTGCAGGAATATCAGTGCAGAAAACCATTAAGATGCTGTTGTGATATTCTCTCTTCTTTACTTTGTTTATATATCAA